TAATGTGCTGCTTTTGGAAGCTTTGCTACTTCTTTGAGAAATTCAGATAATGAGATTCAGCCCTAACCATGAAATGTCTATGATTCATAAAAGCAGGACATTTATAAACAAAATTCTCAGTGACCCATGCATCCCAAATACCATTATTCTAATTTCTACATGTTTCTTGCCCTGAATAGCCAGAGCCTCAAAAAGACAGGCTATCCAGATAGATAATAATATAAGTTCAGTTTGATCAAAACTTTTCACATAATGCCTGACATAGTACAGTTGGCCATAACAGTTATGGATGCCAAGCTCGATGAAATTATTGGCAGAGTTTAAATTTTGGAGCAGAGATTTGAGTTGGTGGAAACACAGCTGTGAACTCTGGCGTCAAACACATCCACAACAGAAAGAAACCAGATGGGTTTGACATCATGAATAACAAAGAAGAAAAAACAGTTATTTAAAGATGCTTTTGAGCTCTTGGATAATCAAGAAAGTAAAATGTGTATATTTGGGGTTTTCAGAATTGTTTGAAGATGATCACACCCTATATTTGTATTTTATTGTATTCTATGTCAAGATACATACACAGCTCAGCAACAGTGTACAGACTAAAGTTTACTAAATTTTGTATGTTCTTTATTGTGTTTTGACACAGATCCACAGTTTTGTAGTGATTCATTCCCAGATGGTTTGCAATAGATTTCAGTGCGGAACCTTAAGTCTGGTCCCCCTGCTAGCACAAAGTTAAGCAATTTTCAAATCCTGTTTAATCCATATACCCAAGTTAAATGAAATCATGTTTGCAACAATTATATGGCATCCACCCTATTACTTTAGAAGCCTAGTGAGATGTGCTTCGCAAGATGAGACAAGGAATGGTAGTATCACAGGGTTGCTGACTATTTACACCAACATACAACATGTCCAAATAAGGTGTAATCAGCTGAGTAGTATCCAGACCTTACCATTTTCATTTGTAAATTACATATACCAACTCTGAAGTTTTTTATGCACATTTTTTTTTCCTTTGGATTTTTCTGAAAACAGCACAAATGAGTGTTGTATCCTAAAAAATTAACTCTACTGAGATTCCCTAACATAAAAACTAGGAAACTGAGTTTCTCTGCAACAGCAACTGCAGGTTACACCTTACCATCTTCCTCCTCTGCGTATTGTTATTTGCTGAAAACCATAAAGTTGTTTCTGATATATCTCTTCTAACAATTCAAGAGAGAAAAGCTTTGAGTTTATTCTTATTTTTATGTTAATAGCCATTAACCCTTTTGGTCCCTATCACTGATTTTGAATGCAGCTGTGAGATGACATTTCATGGGTAATTAGAACAGTAAGTCTATTACATTTACAGTATCAGAAATTCTCAGCAGTTTATTGTTTCATTGTCCTTAAAATAGGATATTTATTGTTTTTCACATATAAGTTAATATTTAAAAGTATTATTGCTTCAGAGCTGCTTCTTTATGTGTCTGTCTATCCTGTCTAGTTCTGTGGTACATTTTTACTCAAATTTTTGACTACAGAATTACCAAACATATCATACAGAATCATTCCCCCGGGGCCCTTACGAACTGACACAAATAAATCTTGCATTTTAACTACAAAACCAATTAGCTACAGGCAAAGCTTTAGGTTATGTTTTTTGTTCTTGTCCCTTGCAAACTGAGCAAGTTTCCATTGTTGATGTGCCAGAGACAGTAATTACCAAAGACAGTTATTCAGTGTCAAAAACAGATTAATAATTTCAAAAAAATCAATGCATCCACCCAGGTTCATGCCATGTGGCTTATACTTCCTTTGTCCCAAACACAAACCTATAGTATGTGGGCATGGTAAAGCATTTGCAGTCCCCTGTCCACAGACATGTCCTTACATCTCCTGCTGATTTATAGATGTAACCCCTGGCTTCTCTCAGTGGGTTCATTGCTAGTTGATTGTCTTTGATAGGCCATCAAGCAGGCTGGATAGTGCTGATACTAATCTGTCTGAGGGTGTCACCGGAGATACACAACACAAGTTTGAAATACAAATATACCACACATATTTATAACTCACAATACAAAGATTATACATACATATAACCATGTTAATCATATTTAGCCACTGATACCTTACATGGCATATCTTGTAAGATTCTTTGCAATTTCTACAATATTGGTATCAATATTATAATAAATGGTCATCCATATTCCATACAGCGTCACAACCTGTTCTTCACACAGGCTGCACAAAAGAGAACATCTTACAGAATAATTATTTTCTGTGGTTCCATTCCATCAGAGCAGAATGAGGGATAACTCCTCAGCCAATAGGAAACAATTAAACGGCTCTGCTCCCTTGCCCGTGCAGTTTCATTCACTTCCTGGGCCAGCCAGTTTTAGGGTATGTCTACACTACGAAATTAGGTCGAATTTATAGAAGTCGGTTTTTTAGAAATCGGTTTTATATATTCGAGTGTGTGTGTCCCCACAGAAAATGCTCTAAGTGCATTAAGTGCATTAACTCGGCGGAGCGCTTCCACAGTACCGAGGCAAGCGTCGACTTCCGGAGCGTTGCACTGTGGGTAGCTATCCCACAGTTCCCACAGTCTCCGCTGCCCATTGGAATTCTGGGTTGAGATCCCAATGCCTGATGGGGCTAAAACATTGTCGCGGGTGGTTCTGGGTACATATCGTCAGCCCCCCGTTCCCTCCCTCCCCCCGTGAAAGCAAGGGCAGACAATCATTTCGCGCCTTTTTTCCTGAGTTACCTGTGCAGACGCCATACCATGGCAAGCATGGAGCCCGCTCAGGTAACCGTCACCCTATGTCTCCTGGGTGCTGGCAGACGCGGTACGGCATTGCTACACAGTAGCAGCAACCCATTGCCTTCTGGCAGCAGACGGTGCAATACGACTGGTAGTCGTCCTCATCGTGTCCGAGGTGCTCCTGGCCACGTCGGCTGGGAGCGCCTGGGCAGACATGGGCACAGGGACTAAATTTGGAGTGACTTGACCAGGTCATTCTCTTTAGTCCTGCAGTCAGTCCTATTGAACCGTCTTATGCTGAGCGGGCAGGCGATACGGACTGCGAGCAGTCGTACTGTACCATCTTCTGCCGAGCAGCCATGAGATGTGGATGGCATGCAGTCCTTCTGCACCGTCTGCTGCCAGCCAAAGATGTAAAAGATAGATGGAGTGGGTCAGAACAAGAAATAGACCAGATTTGTTTTGTACTCATTTGCCTCCTCCCCTGTCTAGATCACACTGCAGTCACTCACAGAGAAGGTGCAGCGAGGTAAATCTAGCCATGTATCAATCAGAGGCCAGGCTAACCTCCTTGTTCCAATAACAACGATAACTTAGGTGCACCATTTCTTATTGGAACCCTCCGTGCAGTCCTGCCTGAAATACTCCTTGATGTACAGGCACACCCTTTGTTGATTTTAGCTCCCTGAAGCCAACCCTGTAAGCCGTGTCGTCAGTCGCCCCTCCCTCCGTCAGAGCAACGGCAGACAATCGTTCCGCGCCTTTTTTCTGTGCGGACGCCATACCAAGGCAAGCATGGAGGCCGCTCAGCTCACTTTGGCAATTAGGAGCACATTAACCACCACACGCATTATCCAGCAGTATATGCAGCACCAGAACATGGCAACGCGATACCGGGCGAGGAGGCGACGTCAGCGCGGTCCCGTGAGTGATCAGGACATGGACACAGATTTCTCTGAAAGCATGGGCCCTGACAATGCATGCATCATGGTGCTAATGGGGCAGGTTCATGCTGTGGAACGCCGATTCTGGGCTCGGGAAACAAGCACAGACTGGTGGGACCGCATAGTGTTGCAGGTCTGGGACGATTCCCAGTGGCTACGAAACTTTCGCATGCGTAAGGGCACTTTCATGGAACTTTGTGACTTGCTTTCCCCTGCCCTGAAGCGCATGAATACCAAGATGAGAGCAGCCCTCACAGTTGAGAAGCGAGTGACGATAGCCCTGTGGAAGCTTGCAACGCCAGACAGCTACCGGTCAGTTGGGAATCAATTTGGAGTGGGCAAATCTACTGTGGGGGCTGCTGTGATGCAAGTAGCCCACGCAATCAAAGATCTGCTGATATCAAGGGTAGTGACCATGGGAAATGTGCAGGTCATAGTGGATGGCTTTGCTGCAATGGGATTCCCTAACTGTGGTGGGGCTATAGACGGAACCCATATCCCTATCTTGGCACCGGAGCACCAAGCCGCCGAGTACATAAACCGCAAGGGGTACTTTTCGATAGTGCTGCAAGCTCTGGTGGATCACAAGGGACGTTTCACCAACATCAACGTGGGATGGCCGGGAAAGGTGCATGATGCTCGCATCTTCAGGAACTCTGGTCTGTTTCAAAAGCTACAGGAAGGGACTTTATTCCCAGACCAGAAAATAACTGTTGGGGATGTTGAAATGCCTATATGTATCCTTGGGGACCCAGCCTACCCCTTAATGCCATGGCTCATGAAGCCGTACACAGGCAGCCTGGACAGTGGTCAGGAGCTGTTCAACTACAGGCTGAGCAAGTGCAGAATGGTGGTAGAATGTGCATTTGGACGTTTAAAGGCGCGCTGGCGCAGTTTACTGACTCGCTTAGACCTCAGCGAAACCAATATTCCCACTGTTATTACTGCTTGCTGTGTGCTCCACAATATCTGTGAGAGTAAGGGGGAGACGTTTATGGCAGGGTGGGAGGTTGAGGCAAATCGCCTGGCTGCTGGTTACGCGCAGCCAGACACCAGGGCGGTTAGAAGAGCACAGGAGGGCGCGGTACGCATCAGAGAAGCTTTGAAAAACAGTTTCATGACTGGCCAGGCTACGGTGTGAAAGTTCTGTTTGTTTCTCCTTGATGAACCCCCCCGCCCCTTGGTTCACTCCACTTCCCTGTAAGCTAACCACCCTCCCCTCCTCCCTTTAATCATTGCTTGCAGAGCCAATAAAGTCATTGTTGCTTCACATTCATGCATTCGTTATTCATTCATCACACAAATAGGGGGATGACTACCAAGGTATCCCAGGAGGGGTGGTGGAGGAGGGAAGGAAAATGCCACACAGCACTTTAAAAGTTTACAACTTTAAAATTTATTGAATGACAGCCTTCTTTTTTTTGGGCAATCCTCTGTGGTGGAGTGGCTGGTTGGCTGGAGGCCCCCCCACCGCGTTCTTGGGCGTCTGGGTGTGGAGGCTATGGAACTTGGGGAGGAGGGCGGTTGGTTACAGAGGGGCTGCAGTGGCAGTCTGTGCTCCAGCTGCCTTTGCTGCAGCTCAACCGTACACTGAAGCATACTGGTTTGGTCCTGCAGCAGCCTCAGCATTGAATCCTGCCTCCTCTCATCATGCTGCCGCCACATTTGAGCTTCAGCCCTGTCTTCAGCCCGCCACTTAGTCTCTTCAGCCCGCCACTTACTCTCTTCAGCCCGCCACTTACTCTCTTCAGCCCGCCACCTCTCCTCCCGGTCATTTTGTGCTTTCCTGCACTCTGACATTATTTGCCTCCACGCATTCGTCTGTGCTCTGTCAGTGTGGGAGGACAGCATGAGCTCGGAGAACATTTCATCGCGAGTGCGTTTTTTTTTTCTTTCTAAGCTTCACTAGCCTCTGGGAAGGAGAAGATCCTGTGATCATTGAAACACATGCAGCTGGTGGAGAAAAAAAAAGGGACAGCGGTATTTAAAAAGACACATTTTATAAAACAGTCGCTACACTCTTTCAGGGTAAACCTTGCTGTTAACATTACATACATAGCACATGTGCTTTCGTTACAAGGTCGCATTTTGCCTCCTCCCACCGCGTGAACGGATTTTGGTTGAATGCCAGCAAACATACACTGCAATGCTTTGTTCTACAGTGATTCCCGAGTACGTGTTACTGGCCTGGAGTGGTAAAGTGTCCTACCATGAAGGACGAAATAAGGCTGCCCTCCCCAGAAACCTTTTGCAAAGGCAGAACCGCAAATGCCAGGGCAAAGTAATCCTTTCACATGCTTGCTTTTAAACCATGTATAGCATTTTAAAAGGTACACTCACCAGAGGTCCCTTCTCCGCCTGCTGAGTCCAGGAGGCAGCCTTGGGTGGGTTTGGGGGGTACTGGCTCCAGGTCTAGGGTGAGAAACAGTTCCTGGCTGTCGGGAAAACCGGTTTCTCCGCTTGCTTGCTGTGAGCTATCTACAACCTCATCATCATCATCATCATCATCTTCTTCGTCCCCAAAACCTACTTCCGTATTGCCTCCATCTCCATTGAAGGAGTCAAACAACACGGCTGGGGTAGTGGTGGCTGAACCCCCTAAAATGGCATGCAGCTCATCATAGAAGCGGCATGTTTGGGGCTCTGACCCAGAGCGGCTGTTCGCCTCTCTGGTTTTCTGGTAGGCTTGCCTCAGCTCCTTAAGTTTCACGCGGCACTGCTTCGGGTCCTTGTTATGGCCTCTGTCCTTCATGCCCTGGGAGATTTTCAGAAAGGTTTTGGCATTTCGAAAACTGGAACGGAGTTCTGATAGCACGGATTCCTCTCCCCAAACAGCGATCAGATCCCGTACCTCCCGTTCGGTCCATGCTGGAGCTCTTTTGCGATTCTGGGACTCCATCATGGTCACCTGTGCTGATGAGCTCTGCATGGTCACCTGCAGCTTGCCACGCTGGCCAAACAGGAAATGAGATTAAAAAGTTCGCGGTTCTTTTCCTGTCTACCTGGCCAGTGCATCTGAGTTGAGAGTGCTGTCCAGAGCGGTCACAATGGAGCACTCTGGGATAGCTCCCGGAGGCCAATACCATCGAATTGTGTCCACAGTACCCCAAATTCGAGCCGGCAACGTCGATTTAAGCGCTAATCCACTTGTCAGGGGTGGAGTAAGGAAATCGATTTTAAGAGCCCTTTAAGTCGAAATAAAGGGCTTCATTGTGTGGACGGGTGCAGGTTTACATCGATTTAACGCTGCTAAATTCGACCTAAAGTCCTAGTGTAGACCAGGGCTAAGTACTTCCCAAACGCATACCATCATAACAGAGTGAAACTTCTCAAACTGAAGGAAACAGTGTTGCTGAGTCTTGTAATATTTGGTGTTACACTTACTCATTCTTGGGACATACATGGCTAAATAAAATAAACAGAAACCATAACTTACAAAAAGGTAAGGTTCCAGTTAAATGAATCTTTAAGACCTTTATACGGTTATCCATTTTTGATTGGAATGGGTACCCAATTTTCAGAATCTAATGGGTTGTTTCCATTTGAAGGAGAGATTGGTGATGGAGTCAAGTATTTCTTTTGTACAGTCCTGTTTATTTACAAAGACTGTTCAAAGTCTTGTTTCCCTCAACACAATAAAACTCAAACAACAGGAAACAGTTTCTTTGCTCACAGTTTGAAGCCTCTTTCTCTTTACCCAACAGCTCTCTCTCTCTCACTCTCTCAGCTTCTTTTTCCTCAAGGTCAGGCTACTCAGGCTTCTCTGGCTGTGTCTGGAACCTTCTTTGTTCTTTCTCTGTGTCCTGTGTGTTTCTGCTGCTTCTCTTACACTGAGGTTACAGCTATACTAACAACTATACATGTGTCCATGCATGCGGTTGTGCCATAACCCCCGTTGTCTACATCTAAACTCCAGAAGCACGTCTGAAAGCAACAGAGAACAAGTAAATTAGCACATCTGAGGGATGTAGGTAAGTACACACCATTTAGTGAGGGCAGGGGTAAGGGATGTGTGTCAGGTCTCAAGTTTCAGTAGTCCTTCCCCCATTCCCACAATGCCTTGAATGCTTTTCTTCCTGACCCTTACCCAATACATAAAGATCCCTGTCCTCATTTTCACCGGCAGTAATGAGCTGTATTACTTCTTTCATATGGCTTGGGTAGGTAGCAATGATTACAAATTTATATCTAGATTTGATAGCTAGCATGTTCCTGCAGCAGTGAACTGGTGAATGCCCTTCAAGCTTCCGGCGAAAGAATGAAGGGGATACTCAGATATGATGTACTCAATCATTTATGCCGTAGAACGTACCAAGACTATTGTTGCGGTTTGTAGGATCCATGGTCTGGAGCCCCATGATGTTTCATTATAAGTGACACGAGACCTAACCTTATCGTGCGTGATGTTTACGAGGTATTGTTGAAAGGTCAAGTGTAATGCCGAGATACTTTGGGTTAGCCTCATGGCTGACAATCTCACCACAGAACTGCACATTAAGTTTGGTATTAGCCATTTTATTGTTCAGACGGAAAGCGGTCACCATGAATTTTTTTCAGGTTAGCCCTAAGTTTCAGCATTGGAAATAATCAGCCATTTTGCTAAGATCTTGGGTTAGAGTGCAGCTGATTATATGGAAACTTGTGTGCTGAGTAGCTAGGGCAATGTCATCAGCATACACAAAATTTCCTCAACTCTGTCACTGGTATATACGTGGTGTATAGAATAAAAAGTACTGGGGCCAGGACAGTGCCCTGAGAGGTGCCTGAGTTAAGAGTTCTTGGTCTACTGATCTGGCCATTAAGGTGTACCTTAAAGTGGCGGTCCCTGGTCATCGCCACCAAGAGACAGATTGTTCGCCAGCAGTGAATGACGTGGGAGATCTTGAGGACGAGGCCGTCTCTCCAGACAGCATCACATGCCGAGGACAAATCAACAAAGGCAATCCCTGTCTTCAATTTATGTTGGAATCCTGCCTCAATGTGGTCGGTGAGTGAAACTATTTGGTCACAGCAGTTTCTCATCAGGCAAAATCCTTCCTGCTCCACTGGGAGGATATCTTTGATAATGTCAGACAGACGGCGGAGCAGTGCCCCTTCCATAAGCTTGCTGGTGGTTGAGAGGAGAGAGATGAGACAGTAGCTGGCTGCATCCTCTGGGAGTTTCCTAGACATCAGCAGGGCAACTGTTGCCTGTCGCCAGCTTGTCGGCACTTGTTGGTAAGCTGCACTGACTACATCAGAACAGCTTTCAGCTGCATGAATCCTGCTCAGAGCAGCTGCTTGGCTTGCTGACCCAGGTACTGATCAATGTGTGGTTGGAGTACATCACTCTCCATGACTTCACACGCAGCAGCAGAAAAACAGCTCTAACGGGAAATTTCACAAAGACTAAAGCAGTCATTCAGCACACTCCAGCCCAATGCCAAGAACACATCAAACACTTGAGGCTCTTATATAGGAGGACAAAAGACTCAGTCCGGAGAGCTTGTTGTACATGCCCCTTCTACAAGATGGACAAGGTGCAGTCAAGGGGGGCCCAGTAGAGAGCCTGAAGTGGCTCACAACCCCCTCCTCACGCCTACCAGCCTTCAGGATGCTGATGAGGGTCAAGACAAGGAGGTAGGCACTATGGAGGATGTTCTGGAAGACTTGGTGGATGAAGAGCATGCGACTCTGCACTGCTACTCGGAAGATCCAGTTGAGAAAGCCCCCTCAATGAACCCAAGGATGAACACTGGAAAAAGACCAGCATAGAACATGATTTTATCGAATCTGAGATCTGGCAAACTCGTACCAGCATAGGGCTGCTTTTAGCTGCCTCTTTCTGGTCTAGGTTTGCCAGCCCTCCAAGGTTGTCCTGGAATCTCCAGGAATTAAAGATTTATCTTTTATTAAAATTTGTCATGTGATGAAACCTCCAGGAATACATCCAACCAAAAATTGGGGACCCTATTCTGGTTACAGACTTACAGCAGTGTTGTAAAATATACAGTCTTGGATGACTAAGTCAGACTCTTATTCGAGAGAACGAAAAAGGAGAAGACATAAGGTGGGTCAGGAAAAGAACACACAAAAGCATTTGTGACAGTCTTACATCCCAAGTGGTGTTTGGGATTCTGCTGGAGCTGGTAGAGATTGCAGTGTCATCTTGGTCCCTTTGTGTGGCCCACTCTGGTACAGCCATCTGTCAAGGATAACAAATGACTGGTGTCCCAAGAGACAGTGTGGGTGGCAGCCATAATGGTAAAGCTCACGCCAGCAGTCAGCTTTAGTTCCCAAAACCTTCTTAAGGACCCACAAAGGAAATGGTGGATGGAATAGTCCATCCCCTCATTATTTTGTCTATCAATTAGGCCTAGTTTCTGACACACCGATTTTGGTTCATTGATTTCTGGTTCCACACTTCTCTTGTTTACCAAGCATGATTTTAACACAATCCTTGAGTTATATTAGTAGGCATTTTTGTGTGGACTAATTCAGTCTGTCTCCCTTTTATACTTTTTGCCATTAACATTTTGTATTAGAATCATAGAATATCAGGGTTGGAAGGGACCTCAGGAGGTCATCTAGTCCATCCCCCCGCTCAAAGCAGGACCAATCCCCAATTTTTGCCCCAGATCCCTAAATGGCCCCCTCAAGGATTGAACTCACAACCCTGGGTTTAGCAGGCCAATGCTCAAACCACTGAGCAATCCCTCCTCCTAATTATTATACATTATTGTGCCATCTCATGAACTTTCATGTACTTTATACAGTTGAGCTCACAATTAGAATAAATTTGTAGGCCCAGTTATCACAACAGTACCAGGACTATATATTTTTCCTGTGACACTCCACACTTGGAAAGATTGGCATCTAGCATGATACAGACACTGTATGGATCCCAAATGGGAAATTCCCTGAAAGTTTCCTCCGATCCAGCCACCAGATAAGAGATTCCCTGACTAGCTAAGGAGTGAGAAGATATGGAGTTTACAGATTGTCATCATCTACCCCTGACCTAAGGAAAAATTGCTGAAAGTGTTTAAGGTTGAAGTAGGATTAGGAGACCAGATCCTAATATAACACTGTGATAGACCAAGGACACTTGGAGAGCACTCTAAGAACTGAGAGAGACTCTGGATAACAGAAATACAGATCTCATTTTATGATTCTTTTCAGAGAGTGGAATACAATCCTTTGTTGTGCCTCAGAGTATCCTAGGGGAGTGAATACATTCTTGTCCTTTTTTGTCCAAAAAAGCCAATCTGAAATCTTAGCCTTAACCTGGCTGCTTCTTGTTCTGTCTCTGCAAAGGAAGTGGTCCAGACAAACCAGTCATCAAGATAAAGAAAAACACTACATCCCCATCTTGCTTAAAGATGCCACATCCACCAATATTATCTCTGTGGAAGTCCAGAGGGCTACTGGAAAGCTAAAGAGAGACCTCTGACTCCTGCATACCCAGAGTATCCACAGATGAACACCTCCACAATGAAATACCAATTCTGTGTCTTTCCAGTCCAAATCATTGCTGTACTGTGGAAAGGAAAAAAAATGGGTATGACTTCGCTGCTCAAGAGCTGCCACATGATGCTGGGTGACCGGGGCAGTCTAACATAGCAAAGGGTGGTAGTGGGCACCATAAAAGCCAGGGAGCTCAGTGTGGCTGCAAATAGGGCTGAGAGGAGGCTGGCAGACTGACTGACATAATGAAAGTCAGGATGTAAACTGGTTGGCATAAGATGTGAATTTGGGTATAATTAGTAGATGGTCTTCTGCCTTACATAGGAGGAGGAGGAGTTACCCATCAGTTGTCCCTGGTAAAAATGGAATTCAAAACAATCTACTACTGATCTCTGAAGGACTTAAGAGGCATGTTGTCTTTAAAATGGCTGTTGACAAATTGGAAAAGGTTCAGAATAGAGGTACAAGAATGATTCAAGATCTGAAAGCCTGCCTTCCAGTGAGAGGCTAAAGAAGCTCAATCTGTTTAGGTTTATCTAAGACAAGGTTAAGAGGTGAATTGATTACAGTCTACAAGTGCCAAAATGGGGAATCGATTTCTGAAAATAGAGGGCTCATTAATTTAGCAATCAAAAGCATAACAAGCATAACCATAACATAATGGTTGGAAGCTGAAGCCAGACAAATTCAAATCAGAACAAAGGTGCACCTTTTTAACAGTTAAGATAATTCACCATTGGAACAATTTACCTACGGAAACATTTGGTGAAATTCTATGGCCTGTGATATGCAGGAGAACAGATTAGAATAGATGATCATAATAGTCCCTTCTGTCCTTAAAATCTATTAATCTATTAATTGATGGATTTGAACTACTGACCAAAAAGTGAAAAGCTCATTGTTCTGGGAGCATCTCAGAAGCTAAGCAGTATAACCAGAACAGAATTTGTATGAGGGGAGGATTCCTGCATGAATTGGTGTGGATTCAGTGGCTAGCATTCTTCCCTCTGAGTTAGTACAAAAAAACCAATGGTTATGAGAGGCACTATGCTGTTGCAGGTACAGTCTACTTGTGACTTCTCAGGACAGATCCCTCCGTACTTGTGAAAAGTGTGCCAGTTTCCAAGTGCATAATTATAATGTCTTCCTAAACTTGAATACAGTACTCCTCTTCAAATCCTGCCCTAAATGAAGTGTGCTATTAAGCAGCTGCCAAGTTTCATAAAAGATGTGGCATCTTTTCAGTGGGGAGCAATATTGGCATAATATAAAGAGTTAGTACAGTGTTTTGGGATCCTACAAGATGAGGAGTACCATCAAATGTGAGTAATTATTCCATTAGCAAAATGATTTTTTTTTTTTGTAAATGGTTCATACAACTTCTCTGAAAAATTCCCCAACTTATCCTAATTAATTTTCATCACAGGATTCACACAATATCCTGGGTCTACTACTGTGCCAAACAACTAACTAAGTACAGAACTTTCTAAAATAATCAAGGCTACTCAATAGACCACCAATCTTGCTTCAGATTTTGAATAAATTAAAAAATTATTGAACTAACGTCAGATTAAAATATAGTTCTTCTGAAAACAGATTAGCAAGCTCAACTGGTTTCCGGACGGGAAAAATCCTATTACTCAATAGCCCAGGACGACTGAAAAGCTGTGTGGGCAAAACATGTCAGGGGAGGCAACGGTAAAATCTCTTAGGAAAGTGTCAACAATGCATACTAAAAGTTAGATTTATTATCAAGCCCGCCGATGGGCTATATTTGAGCAGGAGTCAGTGTGTATCAGACAAGAACTGGATGGAAAAAAGCCTGTTTTGTGAAGGATTCTGGTTGTTCAAAATCTGGTTTTATTCTGATTTGGAATGAAACACAAAAATTTCAAAATTCTTCATGAAAAAGAACGGAACATGGGGCAGTCCAAACAGAGAAGTCTGTGTGAGTAGCATTAAACACACACAAAAACAAGAAAACCCCAAACACATACAGAACAAGCAGAATACAGAAAATGCTTTTAGATAAATCAGCAACCCTATTTCACATGAGAGAATGAGCCTTACAGCCCTGAAACAGAAAAACTATGTTTTCTTGTCAAACAATCATATCTGAAGTCCTAGCTGCCCATGGACGTATGATCACAGAACTAAAAATTAACTGTAGCTTAGGTATAAGTGATCATTCTTGATCACATTTATGAAGTGCAAGTAGAATAAAGCCCAAACCAATAATATACATCCTAGGCCAAATTCACAAAGCTAAAAACAATTTTGAGCAAATTAGCTGGGAGGAAGTATTTAATCAGAAAAATGCATATGATAATTGGGAATCATTTAAGAACACCTTACTAGATGCTCAAAAAGTGGAAGAAAGCTATGCTGGTTAAAACATGACCTGGGCTTCAAGGGTAGTGATGGCAGCTGTAAAATAAAATAAAATAAAATAAAATAAAATAAAATAAAATACAACAAATGGAAGAATGGGGAAGTTGTGAGTAATTAATATAAATCAGAAATTAGAAATTGTAGAAAATTGATTAGGGAAGCCAAGGGACACAGGGAGAAACTTATGGCCAGTAGAGTTAAAAACAATAAAAAGGAGTTTTTTAAAAATATATTAGGAAAAAAAGGAATCTTGACAATAGTACTGGTCTATTACTATATGGAAATGGTATAATTATCAATAATAATCCAGAAAAGGCAGAAGTATTCAATAAATATTTCTGTTCTGTATTGGGGGGAAAAAACAGATGCTATAGTTTCATCTATAGTGATGATAACATTCTTTCCATCCCACTAGTATCCCTGGAGGATGTTAAACAGAAGCTACTAAAGACAGACAATTTAAAATCAGATAATTCGCATTCAAGAGTTTTATAAGAGCTGGTTGAGGAGCTCACGGGACCATTAATGTTGATTTTCAATAAGTTTTGGAGCATTGGGAAAGTTCCAGAAGACTGGAAGAAAGCTAATGTTGTGACAGTTTTTAAAAGGGTAAACAGGATGACCCATATGGGACCCAGGTAATTACAGACCTGGCAGTCTGACATCAATCCCAGGCAAGACAATGGAGAAGCAGATCTGATATTTGAATAATAAATAAGTAAATAAGGGTCATGTAATTAATGCAAATCAACATGGGTTTATGGAAAACAGATCCTTGAAACTAACTTGATATCTATTTTTGATGAGATTACAAATTTGATTGATTAAAGGTAGTCCTGTTTACATCACATACTTAGACATCTGTAGGCAGACAACTTGGTACC